AGAACATTTGATTGTGCTAATGTGAGACCTAGATACTTAGACCAATAGGCAATCGTCAGAACAGAGCAAGGAGATACTGCATGGTTCAAAATCAAGAAGGGGGTCCGTCAGGAATGAATTTTGTCTCCATACATCTTCAATCCCTATGCAGAACAGATCATCCGAGGCTCTGGGCTGTACAAGGAGGAATGTGGCATCAGAATTGGTGTAAGAGTCATCAACAATCTGTGTTATGCGGATGACACAACCCTGCTTGCTGAAACTGAGGAGGACCTGAAGTACTTGCTGCAGAAGGTCAAGGACTGCAGCCTCCAATATGGATTGAGGCTCAAAGTCTGGAAAATAAAGATTCTCACCACTGGGCCAATTGGCAGCATCAATATGGATGGTGAAGAGATTGAGATAGTTAACAGTTTTAGTTTGCTTGGCTCCACAGTCAATACTCTTGGTAACAGCAGCCAGGAAATCAAGAGACAAATTGCATTGGGAAAGTCAGCTGTGATAAACCTCTCAAGAGTACTGAAGAGCAGTGACATCAGGCTGGAGACTAAGGTGCACCTGATCCAGACTATAGCCTTCACAATTATATGCTATGCATCGGAGAGTTGTACAGTGAATAGGGATGATAGAAGGAGAATTGATGCCTTTGAGCTGTGGTGCTGGAGAAGAGTGTTGGACTGTTAGGAGAACAAACAGGCTTGTCCTGGAGATTGTGAGTCCAGAATGCTCCTTGGAGTCAAGGATTCTGAAGATTCATCTGACATTTTTCGGCATGTTGCAAGGAGGGACTGGTCCTTGGAGAGGGACATAATATTTGGGAGAATGAAGGGGCGACGCAGGAGAGGAAGACCATCGATGTGATATTCTGTGAGTGGAGTGGTGGGAATGAGTTCGTTTGAGACGGCGAGGTTGGCACAGGATAGAATGGGACGGTGTTTAGGGCTCTAGTACATAGGGTTGCTATGAGTCGCAAGCGATTCAATGGCACATAACAACAACTTATGGCCCTAGGAATTGCTATAGCCTATAATGCTATGTAACCAACCAGGTTTTAGAGATTTCTTAAAAGATTCTTTGACACAAATAGTAATCCAATTGACTCAGAAATTAATTTTTTAGTAGATTCACTTGTTTGAAACAATTTCCTCCTTCAGCTAGTACTGAATAGTAGTTTAAGATTCACTAGAAGTAGGGACTTTAACATGCAGATTGCGTGTTGTTGTTGTTGTTGTCAGGTGCAGCTGAGTTGGCCAGATTCTTAGTGATCCTGTGTAAACCAATGAAACCCTGTCCACTCCTGTCCAGGTTGGCAATACCTGCTGTGATTAAGCCCATTATTAATCACTGTATTCCTCCTCCTCATTGAGAGTCTGCCTCTTTTTTGCTATTCCACTATTTTTCCAAGTATAATGCCTTTCTTCAAGGACTGACCCCTCTTAAGAACATATCCATCCTTGCTTCTAAGGAGCACTCTGGCTTCACTTCTTCCAAGACTGATGTGTTTTATTCTTTTGGAAGTCTGTGATATATTAAAATTGTGACATGATGGCTTGACAGTTGCTGTGATGCTGGAAGCTATGACATCAGAAGATCAAATTCCAGTAGGCTCACCTATGGTGGACAGGTTTCAGTGGAGCTTTCAGAGTAAGACTAAATAGGAAGCAGGAGTTGCCATCCATTTCTGATATAATGGGCCCTTGAAAACCTCTATGAATATCATGTTGCATAGGAATACATATAAATGTCTTCATAAGAATAAATATATGGGACTATAGCAAAGATATGATGGAAGAGCTTGTGGTCTATGCTTAAGTCAGCCTTTGACCTTGCCTGATTAAATTTTTTGGGATTTTTCCCCCAGAAACCTTGGGCATATGATCTGTGGGAAGTCTGGAATGGCTATCCCAAACAGGTAAGTCCCCAGTGATACATTCCTTCCCTTACTTCAGCACCTAAACAAAAGCCAAACCGAACATGTTGCCATTGAGTTGATTTTAACTCCTAGTGGCCCTATGATGGAAGTGTAATGTCACTATCTTGAACTGTCCACATTTCATTTATCAGCCAAGCAATTAACTACTATGCCATCAAGACTTCAGCACCCAGACTCCTCAAAAAATTGTCTTCTAAATTACATGGTAGTATCTTTTGGACTCTTTGTCCACTTCTATGCATTTCAGTTCCTTTCAGAAACAGGCATATATCATTTTTTGGTATTCTTTCCTTTAAGCTAAGATCCATCATCTAATTTGGATTTAATTTCTGGAATTCCCTGTCAGTGTACTGATGCAACCATTTTAAAAGTATTTTTTTGAAAGTTATTTGTGTGAAGTATTCATGATATCGTTAGATATCTCTTGAGGTGGCTAGACTTTGATTAATTCTTTTTAGTACAGCAACTATGCATTCTTTTCATTTTACCTTGTTGCTTTCTGTGCCACTCAATAATTTACCAATGAAATCCTTTATGATTGAAATTCTTTTTCAGTTCTTTCAGTTTGAGAATTGCTGAGCATGTTCTTTCCTTTTAACTTTCTAACCCTGGGTCTTTTTACATTTCATAATAGTTTTTTGTCATCTGATACCATTATTTGAAATAATTTATTCTCCCTTTTTTTGGCTTTATATTCTAACCACTTTCCTTGGGAATGGGAACAGATATGTATCTCTTCCATTCAGGTGGCCAGGCAGTTGTCCTCCAAATTTTCTGGCATACACTGTTAAGTCCAGGGCTGCATCTGTCATTTGAAACATTAATACATACAAGCAATTGACAAACATTGTTAATTGATATCCCATTGATTATTGGGGCCTTATTTTTTTTACCAATGCCTTCAGTGCAGCTTGAGCATCTTCCTTGCTTACCGTTGGCTCTTAATCAGGTCAAGTTGACCAATTTTTTTTTGTACAGTGATTCTGTGTATTCCTTCCATCTTCTTTTGATGCTTCTTAGATGATTCAAGATTTTGTCTATAGCACCTCTAAGTAGTGCAACTTGAGGCTTGACTTTGTTTTTCAGTTCTTTCAGCTTGATAAATGCCAAGCAAGTTCTTCCCTTTTTATTCTCCAATCCCAGGTCTCTATAGAGTCCATTATATATTCTTTGTTTTTTTTAAAGCTGCTCTTTGAAATGTTCTGTTTAGCTCTTTTACTTTAACATTTCTTTATTTTGGATTCTTGATGCTCTAACACAATTTTCAGAATCTCTTCTGACATTCATTTGGTATTTTTCTTTCTCTTCTGTCTTTGTAGTGACCTTCATGGTCTCTTCATGGATCATATTTTTATGTCATCTTAAAACTCATGTGAACTCTGATTATTGGTGTTCAATGTTTCAAACCTATTTTTAAGATGATTTTTAAATTCAAGTGTGATACACTCAAGATTATATTTTGGTTCTCATGGTCTTATTTTAATTTTCTTTTTCTCAGTTTGAACTTGTACATGAGTAATTAATAATCTGTTCCACAGTCAGCAACTGGTCTGGTGTTGACTGCTGATGTCAAGTAATCCCCCCTCCCTACTGCCTCTAGAAATAGGTCTCTAGGTACTTCTTCCTAATCTGTCTTAGTTTGGGAACTTTGCTGAAACCTGTCTACCATGTGTGATTCTGCTGATGTTCGCTGGTGGCTTAGTTTGCAGACTCACAGCAACATGCAAGCCATCATGGTATGATAAACTAACAGACAAATTAAACTATTAAAGTTTACAGAGTGAATTGGCTTTCCTTTTGACAATTCATACAGATTTTTTATTGTTTTGTGACATTAGTGACAATCCCAAGAATGTAAGAGCATAAGCCCCTACATCTTCCCTGTGTTTCCCATTTCCATTTATCCTTCTTTCCTATCCCTTCCTGTCTTCTGAGCCTTTTTTATCCCAATGTACCATCATTTTTAAGGATTTTTTTTTCTCTGTATAAATTTCTAGGTGAGTAACTAGTTTCTTTGAATAATTTAAAGTCCTTCCATCAACTTTAATCATTCAGCTTTATTTTTGTCACTTTGTTAATATATTAACTTTTTTTTGACTTATTTTAATATTTTCTTATCTTTAATGATTTATCATGATATGTATAGGTATAGTTTTCTTAGGCTTTTTCTGCTTAGGGTTTGCAAAACTTCTTAAATATGTAACTTTATATCCTTAGTTTTGGGGAAAATAGCAGCCATTTCACTTTCTGGGATTTTAATTACAACTATGCTTGAGTGCAGTTTTTGTGCTTTCATACTTTATCACACTAGTCTCTCATATTTCATATTTTCTCAAAACTGCTTCCCCCTTTGTACTTAAGTCTATTGAGAGAAAATGCTCCACAAATTTCTTTCACATATACATGTTTTGTGACATGAGGCACTGAGTATTTTTTTATTTTGTGCTATATTTTTTGTGATTGGTTGTAAGCCCTGGGAGACAGAAATAATGTCTTCCTCTGGAGCAAAAGTCAAGCATGCTATTGCACATTATAAAGTATTCCAGTTCTGTTGCTCAGTTTTCCTCTTAAGTAACAACTCACTGCATCTGCAAGTATCTTCTACTCCTTTTCCTGTCTGTAGGAAATGAGGATTGAAGAACTGGCATAAATACTGATAACTAGCTACTGCTATTACTGTAAGGAACTGTATTTCTCTGAGCCAGGACTTTCATATCTTCTACTAGTATACATACATGACACTTTGGCAAGCTAATGTGTTAGCCTGTAAGTAGAGTAAAATCTCAATTAAAACATTTGGATCTTTTCTGTTAACATGTCTTGCAGTTTACTAGTACTTTTTCAGCTATGTCTATTCTACTACCAAACATATCTGTTGAGTTCTTAATTTCAGTTATTATGCTTTCCAACTCTTAAATAGTAGACTTATATTAATGTCCTCAGTGAATCATACTTTCTAATACTCGTGTTTTTATAGACCTTAGGTTTGATCTTTGGCTTTGATCAAAGTAATATAAACATACATGATCACATATTTTTTTTTTCTCTGGAAATGAGGTTAGCATATCAGATTCTGAATAGTATTCAAGAAACATTAAAGAAGGAAAATTTTTCTTTAGAAAATATTTGTAAAATTATATTGCTAATTTAACTCTTAAATTAAAAATAACCACAATTATACCCTATGGTAGTTTTATTAACATTTAAAAAATAATTTCACATGATTTTGAAATACTTGTTTACCCTATGAGAAACAAAATGTCTTTTTTTTACAAAATGTCTTAAAATATTGTTTCCAGTTCTTTTTTATAAGTTGAATTATAATAGTTTATGAGATTATGTAATATATAAATAGGTATGCATAATAAAATTTAATGCATTGAAATAAACTGTCTACAAGGTACCATTCAAAGTAATGTATAATCTTATTTTCCTCAGCCATTGTTACCATCCCAGTATTGGTACTACCTCTTAGAGATGAGTTTTTACTGGTCTCTGGTATTTAGTCTTGGCACTGATATCAAGAGAAAGGTAAGTGTTTATTTATAAAACTACTTATTATACTTCTAAAAAAATCTTTTGTCTCTGTCCAAAATTGTGATCTTTAAATAGGTTAAGCTTTATTCATTGCTTTCCACTCTTGATATATTTTTTTTAATTTATACTGGTTTGCATACAAAGTTCATAAAATTTGTATACATTGTTTTTCACAGCAGATCTTTCCCCTTTTGTTTACTAATCCTTCCCTCCAATAATCATATTGTGTGACCCTGTAATTAAACCCACACCTTCCCACTTTGGATCCTCGTACTTGTTCTGCAATAACGATCTTATACATTATTTGTCCTTATGAGACTGAGCTAGTTCACTTAGCATAATGCTCTACAGCCCTTCCCATGTTAGGCAGTAATTTATAAAATCATTACTCCTGCGTGGTGCATCGTATTCTAGTGTATGAATGCACCGTAATTTCTCAATCCAGTGCATTGTGGTTGGACATTTGGGCTGTTTCCATGTTCTCGCCATGGTGAATAATACTGCTATTCACATTGGTATACAAGTCTCTGTTTCTGCCTCAGTTAACATTTTCTCAGGGTATATCCCAAGCAGTGGGATAGCTAGGTCATATGGAATTCCTATGTTCAGCTTTTTAAGTACACATCAAATTGCTTTCTAGAGTGGTTGTACCATTTTGTAATCCCACTAACAATGAATAAGAGTTTCTATCTTGCTACATCCTTTCCAGCATTTATTACTTGCTGCCCTACCAACTTTGCCACTGCTACTGGGGTGAGATGGTATCTCATTGTGGTTTTGATTTTCATCTCCCTTGTTACCATTGACTTAAAGCATTTCGTCATGTGTCTGTTGGCTTTCCGAATGTCTTCTTCTCTGAAAAGTCTTTCCACGTCTTTTCCCCATTTTGTAATTGGAAAAAGTATTTTTCTTCTGGAGGTCCTGTAGGTAAACTTTCATGTTTTTAAACTGCAAACTTTCATGATGAGACCTTGGTCTGAGATGGTATTGCCAAAGGTTTGTTACCAGTCAATAGGTTTTCTTTTTACACTATTGGGAAAAGTTTTTTATGAACATAGAGATTTTATCTCTTTAGAAGGTGCCAGTCATCAAATTTACCCTTTTCATATTGTGTATTTCTGGCTGTATTTGGCAGTCCCTTTTCCTGTAGACTAGGCCTCCTAAGCTTAGTCTCAGTTTGTCTCTTTTTTCTTTATTTTTACTTGGTTTTCCTTCTTTATTGAGTGACGGCAATGAGGATGTAGATGCACACATAGAAGGAGTTGGGTGCTGGCTGGCCTCCACGCTCCAGGCGGAGGAGGTTGGTGGTCTCCGGGTCATGGCGGAGCCACAGGGCTACTCCGAGGATCACACCTCCGGCGAGCCAGAAGACGAAATTGGAGACTAAGAGCAGGTACTTGATGCACTTGGTACAGCCCTCTCCGCCCCCAGCTCCCGTGGTGGCGCAGCAGGCGGGCGGCGAGGTTGGAAGGCGCGGGGCTATCGGAGAGCAAGCTTGAGCTCAGGAAGCCTGGCTGGGTGCGTGCAGGGGTCCCTCCCACTGTTTGGCCGCCCAGTTTGTCTCTTAAAAGCTTTATGGTTTGGGGTTTATTCCGAGGACTCTGATCCACCTTGAGTTGATTTTTGTGTATGGTGTGAGATGTGGATCCTGTTTCAACTTCTAAAGGTAGCAGTACAGTTTTACCAGCATCTTTTGTTGAAAAGGTTATCATTTCCCTTTTTGATAGATTTTATTTCTTTGTCGAATATCGGTTGACCATAGATAGCTGGGTCTATTTCTGGGTTCTCAATTCTGTTCTGCTGATCTATGTGCCTGTTATTGTATCAGAACCATTATGTTTTGGTCACTACCGCTGTGTAGTAGGTTTTGAGGACAGGTAGTGCTATGCCTCCCACTTCATTTTTGTTTTTCAGAGATACTTTGCTTATTTGGGGGTCTCTTTCCTCTCCAAATAAACTTGACTATTTCCCTCTCTATTTCCTTGAAAAATGCATTGAGATTGCATTGAACATGTAGATTGCTTTTGGTAGGATTGTCATTTTCTCAATATTGTGTCTTTGTGTTCATGAACAGGGAACATTTGCCCATTTATTTAGATCTTTTATTGTGTCTCACAAAAATGTTCTGTAATCTTTGTATAGGTCTTTTGTGTCTCTGGTTAGGTTCACTCCCAAGTATCTCAATTTGTGGCTGGCTATCATGAATGGTATTGCTTTCATGGTTTCATTCTTTGAGTTCTCTTTGTTACTGTAGAGTAATCCCACTGAGTTTTGGGTATTGATCTTGTATATTGCCACTCTACTAAATTGATCTACTAACTTTAACAGTTTTTGTGTTGAGTCCTAGGGGTTTTCTGTGTACACTATATATCATATGCATAGAGTGACCATTTAACCATCTCATCAGGATACCTTTTATTTCCTTCTCTTGTTATATTGCCCCAGCAAATACCTCCAATATAATATTGAATCAAAGTGGAGACTCTGGGTATCCTTGTCTGATGCCTGTTCACAAGGAAAATGCTTTTAGTCTTTCTCTATTGGTTTTACATATAAACTTTTGACTATGTTGAGGAAGTTCTTTTCTATTCCAGTTTTCCTGAATGTCTTCATCAGGAATGGGTGTTGGATTTTGTCCAAAGTCTTTTCTGCATCAATTGCTAGGATCATATTGTTTGGGTTATTTGTTGTCTTAATGTGGAGAATTATGTTGATTGATTTTCTAATCTTGAACCATTCTTGCATACCTCTTATGAATCCCAACTGGTCATGATGAATTGCTTTCTGTTTGTTTTGTTTTTGTGGGTTTGTTTTTTTTTAAATGTGCTCTTGGATTCTATTGGCTAGGGTTTTGTTAAGAATTTTTATGTGTATGATCATGAGAGATACTGGTTTCTTTTTTGTAATATCTTTCCCTGGTTTTGGATTATGCTTGCATCATAGAATTTCTCTGGGAGTGTTTCTTCTTTTTCAATATTTTGAAATAAGTAGAATTGGTGATAAATCTTCTCTGAGTATTTGGTAAAATTCAGCCTTAAAGCCATCTGTCTGGTCCAAGACTTTTTTTGTGGGGGAGTCTTTTTATGACTTACTCAATTTCTTCTTTTGTGAAGGGTCTGTTCAAGTGTTCTCCATCTGGATATATCAACCTGAGTAGGGTAGGAGTTTCAAGGACTTTGTCCATTTCCTCTAAGTTTTCAAATTATTCAAGTATAACTTTTCCTAATATTGTATATTACAGATTTAATTCCTTCTGGATCTGTTGTGATGTCACCATGTTTCATTCAAAGTCGAGTTGGTTGCCTGTGTAGTTTAAGTCTTCATCTTTGTTTCTTTTGAGTTGATCTATCCTTTGGCGAGAGCGTTGTTCTTGAGATGACTTTTTTAGTTCAGGTAGAATTAATTCAAGGTCTTATTTTGGCTCTTATAGATATGTTTTCATCTTCTTCAGCTTCAATTTGACTTGCTTATGAGTATATATAATGGTCTGTTCCAACTTCATCTCTTGGCCTGATTTTTTTGAGAGATTTTCCAACACTTCCTTCCATAGTTGTTGTTGTTGTTGTTGTTATGTGCCGTCGCGTCGCTTGCAACTCGTAGTGACCCTATGTACAGCAGACCTAAATTCTGCTCTGTCCTGTGCCAATCACACTGTCTCTGACACTCCCATCCCGATTATCCCAGTCACTGAATCAGTCCACCTCATAGAGAGCCTTCCCCTCCTGCGCTGTCCCCTCCTCCCTCCCAAGCATGATGTCCTTCTCTAAGGACCGGTCTCTCCTTACAACACGTCCAAAGTATGTTAGACGGAACCTGAGAATCCTTGCCTCCAAGAAGCCACCCAGCTTAACCCTTTCCAGGATGAATCTGTTTTCCTAGCAGTCCATGTCCATAGATGTAGTCAGTCTGATTCCTGTGCATTCTATTAGGTGAGGTCCATGTGTGTAGCTGCCGCTTGTATTTTTTAAAAAAGATATTTGCAATGAATAAATCCTTGATGGTGCAGGATTATTTTTTTTTTAAATCCTTGCCTCCAAAGAAAAACTTGGTTTCACTCTCTCAAGGATAAACCTGTGTGTTCTCTTGGCAGTTCCTGGTATGTTTAATACTATTCTCCAGCACCACAATTCAAAGGCATAAATTCTTCTTCTGTGATCTTTGATCATTGTCTAGCTCTCTGATGCATAACAAGTAATTGCAAAGACCATTGTCTGAATCAGGTATACCTTAGTCTCCAGACTGACATTGTTGCTTTTCAGCACTTTTGAAAGGTCTTTGACAGTAGCTTTCCCCAGAGCAATTAGCCTTTTGATTTCTTGATTCTTGATGCTCTGCTTTATCTATTTTGTTGCTGCCAATTAGCCCAGTGGTGAGAATCTTTGTTCTCTTGATGTTGAATTTCAATCTGTATTGAAGACTACAGTCCTTGACCTTCTGCAGCTAATGCCTCAAGTCCTCAGTTTCAGTGAGCAAGGTTGTGTCATTTGCATAATGTAGGTTGGTGATGAGTCTTCTTCCAATCCTGATGCCACATTCCTCCTCATAAAGCCAACCTTCCCATCCTAGTATAGTATCTCAAATTGGTTTTCATTTATATTTTCCTTGTGGAAACTCAGGTGGCATAGTCTGTTGGGAATTGTGCCTTTAACCCAAATATTATGCTTCTCCAGTTGTCTGAATCTACCAGTGGCTCTGTGGGAGAAAGAAGGACAGTCTTCTCCCACACAGTTTATAGCCACAGAAACCTAATGAAGGGTCATCTCTGAGTCAGAGCCAACTAAACAGCAATAGTGAATGATGATGGCTAACCATGTTAAGTATCCTTTTTTGTGTTTATTGGTCATTTGTATATCTTCTTTGGAAAAAATATTTTTATTTTCATACTAGTTACTGTAGCTTTCCTTAATTACTACAACATACAGTAATTCTTATTTTAATGATCTTAAAGTTTTATTATATATTTCTTTTCCTATTTAGAATTAGACAAAGAATAATCAGTTAATGTGAATGTATGCAGAAATATACTTGTGTGTGTAGTTGTGACCACCCAGCTGTGTATATGTAGCAGTGGAAAGAATAGGATATTTGGATTTGAAAACTGTTAAATGCTAACTCAACATTAAATTCCTTCTGAACTAACTCAGTCTCATAAGGACAAATTACTTCATAGGTCCATTATTGTAACACTAGAAGGATAACTAGTTGTTGTTGTTGTTGTTGTTATATGCCATTGAGTCACTTGTGACTCATACTGAATCCTGTGCCAACCTTATTGTCTCTTACACACCTGCCTCCGTTACCCCAGTCCCTGAATCAATCCATCTCATTGAGGGTCTTCCTCTCTTGTGCTATCCCTCCACCTTTCCAAGCATGTTGTCCCTCTCCAAGGACTGGTCTCTCCTTGTAACATGTCCGAAGTATGTTATACAAAGCTTCAGAATCCTTGCCTCCAAGAGCAGCCTGGTTTTACCCCCTCAAGGATTAACCTCTTTGTTCTCCTGGCCGCCCATGGTATATTCAATAGTCTTCTCCAGCACAACAGCTCAAACACATCGATTCCCTTTCTATCATCCCTAGTTATTGTCCAGTTTTCTGATTAGTAGCATGTATGTTGTATGTAAAATCCCTAAGAGGAGAAGGGGCAATGAAAGGAGGGGGTAAAGAAGAAAAAAACAAACAAACAAAAACCACAACACAAAAAAGCAGTATTAACAAATGTTAGATAAAAGAGTAAACTAAATGTATGTAACTAAAAAAAAGGGGAAAGAAAAATAAAATAAAAAGAATAAAAGATAAATTACATCATGAACAAGGCTAACACATATTCTTACCTCCTTATAAAGATTGTTTTTAAAAGTTAAAGTGTTTTGTAAGTTTCAAAACATGGTGCAAATATGTTATTATTTTTTATTCTCCTGGTAATTAACAAAATAACTACATTTGTTTAATTGTTTCTCTTTGTGTGCACATTCTCTAGGATTATCTAGCTAATATCATCCATCACCTGGCTGCCATTAGCTTGATGGGCTTCTCATGGTGCGCTAATTATATCCGCAGTGGGACCCTCGTGATGATTGTGCATGATGTGGCCGACATTTGGCTAGAGGTAAACATTTGCTATATAAAAATGTAATAACAATATACAATTCCTGGGTTTCTGTAAATGCTTACAGAAAGAAATCTGTAAGTGACTTAGTGGTCAGTGCTTTCTCCTGAAAACACCCAAAGTTGGAAAATGTTCTTGGAGCCTCAACTCCTTCAGGATTAAAGAAAGACAGCCTTTAAGTTTTTGGGGTGTGTATGTGTGTGTATTTTTGTTTTTGTTTTTTTAATTTTTAATGAAAGTTTACAGAGACTTTGGATTTCCATTCATACCTTGTTGCACTTTTCTCCCTGGTCACACCTAGCCCGTAATTCACTTTTCTTTTTGAAAAGTAAAAGAAAAAAAATTTTTCAGTATTATTCAATCCCTCCCCCAAAGTCCACTCCATTATGCTACCTTCATTCCGGACTCCTATCATAACACTACTGAGTCAAATATCTCAGTCACAAAAAGACAAATATGGCATAATGTCTCTGTTATAAAAGAGGACTGACATAGGGGTTGGGGGAGACTGAGAAAGATGGGATAAATAATGTATTTATTGAAACAGAAGAGGAAATAACTATTTAAAAGGGATGTATGCTTAGCCTTTAAGTTTTACTTTTTAAACCTTCTATATTGTATAAAAATATTATTAAAAATGGGTGACCTTGGCGACATTATGCTGAGTAAAATATCTCAGTCACAAAAGAACAAATACTGTATGGTGCCACTGTTGTACAATGAAGCTGACATCGGGGGTGAGGGGTGAGACTGAGAAAAACTGGATAAATTTTGTGTACTGCATTGAAGCTGATGAGGGAGAGAACAGTTTAAAAGTAACATATTTTAGGGCATTATGATTATCATGAGAGTTCTGAATGAGGGTTGCAAAGTGGAGTGTACTCGGGGTGAGGGTGGGGGCATGCGGGGGGATTGTATACCAATGAAGGAATTTTTCTTTTGATTTTAAAGAAGAGCGAACTTGGGGTGGGGTGGGCGGGGAGAAAAGTGCAACAATGAATGAATGGAAATCCACAATCTCTGTAAATGTTCATTGAAATTAATAAAAAAAATATTCATTTGGGGATAAAACTTAGGAAAATTAAATACAAATGCTTGCTTAGTAAGGAAAAGTAAATATGTGAAGAATAAATGAATTTGAATATTTTAAAAGGAAAACTTGAGTGTGTGGCATTGTAGACGTCCACATTGGCAAGCACATAAGTCAACATAGTCACTTAAGCAAATGCTTGGATAGACACTGAGCACTTACCCAGCCTGTTCTCCCAATCCTCCTCTAACCCATACCATTGCTGAAATGAATAAGAACTTTTAAAAAGCCCACATTTCTATTATAAAGAGAAGATAGACTTTGAATATATTCAAAATGGGCAACAAAGGTTTTCAAAAGTCATATAAACTAAAAATATGAGGAATAAAACACAAATGTAAGATTGTTTATGCTACATTTTCCTGTCATGTATTGTTGATGTTGTTATATGCTCTCGAGTCGCCTGTGACTCATAGTGACCCTGTGTACAATGGCCCTAAACCCTGTTCTACGCTGTGCCAATCTCACTCTCTCCAACACACCTACCCCTATTACCCCACTAATTGAATCAATCCACCTCATAGAGGGTCTTCATCTCCTGTGCTGTCTCTCCACCCTCCCAAGTATGACATCCCTCTCCAAGGACTGGTCCCTCCTTGCAAGATATGTCAGATGAAGCTTCAGAATCCTTGCCTCCAAGGAACAGCCTGGTTTAATCCTCTCTAGGATGAACCTGTTCGTTTTCTTAGCAATCTCCTCCAACACCACAGCTGAAAGGCACATCGCTAGTCATTGTCCAACTCTCTTACGCATATCAAGTGATTGCAAAGATCATGGCCTATATCAGGCAACCGTAGTCTCCATAGTGACATCATTGCTCTTCAGTACTTTGAAGAGGTCCGTAACAGCAGACTTTCCTATGGCAAAATTTCTTTTACTTTCTTGGCTGCTGGTGTGAACAGGGCTGACTATGAAGCCAAGCAAACTAAAGCTGTTAACAATCTCAATCTTTTCACCATCAGTTCTGATGCTGCCAATTGGCCCAGTGGTGAGAATCTTTGTTTTCTTGATATTGAGCCTCAATTCATGCTGAAAAGCTGCAGTCCTTGACCTTCTGCAGGAAGCACTTCAAGACCTCCTTATTTTCAGGAAGCAGGATTGTGTCATCTGCATAATGAAGATTGCTGATGAATCTTTCTCCAACTCTGACGCCAACATTTCTCCTCATACAGACCAGCCTCCTGGATAATCTGTTCTGCATATAGGCTGAAAAGGTATGGAGATAGGACACATCCCTGGCATACACCCTTCCCAATTTTGAACCATGCAGTATTTCCATTTTCTGTTCTGACTGCCCCTTGGTCCATGTATAGATTTCGCATTAGCATGATCAAGTGTTCTAGGATTCCCATTCTTCTCAGGGTTAGTCACAATTTGTTGTGATTCACACAGTCAAATGCCTTTTAATAATCAATGAAACATAGATACACACTCCTCTGATACTCTCTGCTTTCAGCCAAGATCCATCTAACATCAGCTACAATATCCCTAGTCCCACAACCCCTTCTAAACCCAGCCTGCTCTTCTTGCAGTTCTTTGTTGATGTGCTCTTCCAGTCATTTTTGGATAATCTTCAGCAGAATATTGCTTGCATGTGATATCAACGATACTGTTCAATAATTTCCACACTCTGCCATATCACCTTTCTTTATAATGGGAACAAATATAGATCTCTTTTATTCAGTTGACCAGGTGGTTGACCTCCAGATTTCTTGGCACAACTTTGTTGTGCATCTGTTTGTTGAAATATGTCAATTTGTACACCATCACTTCCTGGGACTTTGTTTTTTGCCAATTCTTTCAGAGCAGCTTGAACTTCTTCCTTTTTCACCACAGTCTCTTGCTCATATGTTGTTTCATTAAATTCTTTTGTGTCCACCAATTCCTTTTGGTACAATGACTCTGTATACTCTTTACATCTTCTTTTAATACTTCCTGAATCATTTCATATTCTACCCAATGCATCCTTAAGTATTGCAGCTTGAGGCTTGAATATGCAGAACAGATTATCTGGGAGACGGGGCTCTATGAGGAGAAATGTGGACTGAAGATTGTAGGAAGACTCATCAACAATCTGTGTTATGCAGATAACACAACCCTGCTTGCTGAAACTGAGGAGGACCTGAAGTGCCTGCTGCAGAAGATCAAGGAATGCAGCCCTTCAATATTGATTAAAGCTCAGTATCAAGAAAACAAAGATTCTCACCACTGGGCCAATTGGCAGCATCAGCATGGATGGCGAAGAGATTGAGATTGTTAACAGCTTCAGTTTGCTTGGCTCCACAATCAATACTCTTGGCAACAATAGCCAAGAAATTAAAAGATGTATTGCCTTGGGAAAGTCTTCTGTCAGAGACCTCGCCAAAGTACTGAAGAGCAATGATACCACTCTGGAGACTAAGGTGTGCCTGATATAGGCCATGGTCTTTGCAATCACTTGTTATGCATGAGAGAGCTGGTTAATGACTAGGTATTATAGAAAGAGAATTTGTGCCATTGAGCTGTGGTGTTGGAGAATAGTATTGAATATACCATGGACTGCTAAGAGAACAAACAAGGTTCGTCCTGGAGAAGGTTAAACCAGGCTATTCCTTGGAGGCAAGGATTCTGAAGCTTTTTCTGACATGCTTTGGGCATGTTGCAAGGAGGGACTAGTCCTTGGAAAGGGACATCATCCTTTTGAGGGTGGAGACACAGTGCAAGAGAGGAAGACCCTCGATGAGATGGACTGATCCAATGATTGGGGTCAGGGACAATAAGATTGGCATAGGATTGATCAGGGTTTAGGGCTTTTATACATAGGGTCACTATGAGTTGCAGGCAACTCGATGGCTCAACAACAATGCCTATAATTTATAATTTGACACTTAACTACCTTTACAAATCTTAAGATTATTATATGTGGTAAAGGTGTGTTAATATATATATATAGTATTAATGTGTTAATTTATCAAAAGATAGTGCCAAATTTTTTACATGCTAGTCTCTGAATATTGTCATCTCTGTTACAACTACTTCATCCTCTAACTGTATCTCAGTAAAATTGTTTAAAAGTTAAAACACTAGCCAAAAGCACAATATATCTTCTTCTGCAAAGTGCATGGAACATTCTCCATAATAGATCACATTTTAGAACATAGGCAAGATTAATAAATTCAGAAGCATACAAGCAATACAGAGCATCTTCTCAGATCAGAAAGCTACAAAATTAATAATTAATAATGAGGAAAAAGAAGAAAAAGTCATACATTTGGAAGCTGAACAACACCTTGCTTGAACATGAGTGGGTAATAGAAGAAATAATAAATGAAATTAAAAAGTTTCTTGAAACAAATCACAGTGAAAACACAACTTACCAACACCTCTGGGAAACAACCAAAGCAGTAATTAGAGGTCAATTTATAGTAATAAGCAAATATATTAAAAGACAGAAAAAATGACGATTGACTCTCTAACCCAGTATCTCCAACAAATTGAAAAAGAGCAACAATAAAACATGACACCCTCCAAAAAAGCTGAAATTATAAAAAAGGCCCATTCTATGAAACAAACATATCCTTGATACAAAAACCAGTAAAGACACTATCAAAACAGAAAATTATAGACTAATATCTCTATGAACATAGATGCAAAAATCCTGAATAAAATCCTGGCAAATAGAATTCAATAATATGTCAAAAAAGTGACTCACCATGATCAAATGGGATTCATAACATGTATTTAACATAAGAAAAACAATCATTGTAATTCATTGCATTAATAAAGCAAAGAACACACACATGAGTCTATCAATTGATGCAGAAAAGGCCTTTGACAAAATCCAACACCCTTTCCTGATTAAAACACTAAACGAAATACGAATAAAAGGCAATTTCTTCAACATAGTAAAAAGTATATAGCAAACTCAAGA